TCAGTCCCACTGTGTGTTATTAGGATTGCTATATAATTTATATCCTACTTTTCCTCCAGAAACTCAGGATGGGGGTGGAGAAGAAAACCCCCCTTAATTTTATCCCAAGTACATGCTGTGAAGTAGATTGTTGGAGAGTTGCTACAGTCCTTAATACTTTTATTGATAGTTTTCATTATATGTATTTTATTTAATGTACATTTGTATTATTCCAAAAGGCTCCGGGTTGCTTTCAAAAAACTAATTTGTGAATGAGCTATTGTTGCCAGAGCACACAAAACATTTTTGCTTTTATGTATTTGATCCAATAAATTCCCTCAGCTACAAGTCTGCCTTTTATGAGTTACCAGCGAATACAATGAGATATAAGCAGACCAAGTACACTTGGGCTGCTCTTCCTTCATCTGCAGAAATATCAGGGTCCTTATGACTCCTAATGCTTGTTTCAATAAAAGAATATTAAGGACATTAAGGAAGAAAGAAATAATATTAACCAAACACAAAATATCTATATTCTAACCGTAATTTATTCATGCAAAGTTATGTTAATCCTATCAACAACTGGGAAAATAAACGGATTTCACTTTCAACGCATCTTTTTTCAATCCAAGATCGGGCTTCTGTCTTTCTTTAAATGTTACCAACCAAGATTCTGCCTTATAAGTCAGAACATTCCAAAACTTTTCCAGACCCAACCAAGCAAGCATTGTCTATATCAGAGGTCCCCAATCTTTTGGGCACCAGGGACCGGTTCCATAGAGAGAGGTTTTTCCGTGGACCAGAGAGTGCATGGTTTTGTGTGCTGCCTGCATCATACGCTTGTTTGTGTGGCCTGGTTGCTGGCATGCCGTGGCCCGGTACTGGTCCACAGACCAGGGGTTGAGGACCCCTGGTCTATATTATACAATACAATATTTTGATACATTTTATGTGAATATGAAAGAGCATGATTAATATAACATCTTGTATTTTTAAGCAATTTAACACTGAGCATAAGTCTTTCTTCCCAGACTTTCATCACTTCTCTCTCTTGCCTGCTGTTTGCTCTCAAATATCTTCTCCCTCCATTAGATCATTGCTCACCTTTTGGTAACTACAGTAGTAGTCATATACAGGGTCTTCTGTTTTCATGCTTCCAGTTGGTCCCAAGAGGTTCTTGAAAGACCTACACTCTCTATCTTGGATCCTAATGCAATGGGCGAGCAAATAGCAGCATTCCTGTCCAGTTTTTTTTTTTCATGGACTGCATAAGTGACTTCTGATGTGGTCTTTAATGGTACTTAGTCCATGTAAGGTGGTCCCAATACTTCAGCTGAATGTTTGATTAGAAGCATTCTTCTTTAGAGGAGAGCTATTTCAAACTTCTTTTGGTCTCCAATATGTAGCTTTTCCAGGAGGAAATTCTGAGCAGTGACATCAATGACACTCTCATAATTCATTTTTGTTCAGGGAACTGATTAAATACTTCAGCAACAAGTTTGTAAAGATGAATTACTTCCAAAGTCTTTTTCTGAAATGAAAGGACAAAAGACTGATGTATGGGCATAGTTTGTTTGTTTCTGCCATTAGAATCTATAGCAACAGATAATTTGGTGGAAATGGTAGCATGCCTCTTGATTCATTCATTTATTTACTCAAGCAGGGGATCATACAATCTGTCAGTTCTCCCCACCATCATATTTACTGGAGTGTTTTTAACAGGCAATTCAGGAAGATAAAGTACTCCCGTACTAACAGCAAACTCTGGGGATCCCAGAATAGCAGTGAAGTGCAAAGCAATTTTTAACTTTCTTAGTTTTATTTGGTTTTAATTGGCTCACAAAAGAAAATAAATGGTAATAAATGTAAACGTCATATTTGGTACTATCCAAATAACAATAGCAATAGTATTTAGATTTATATACCCCTTCACAGTGCTTTACAGCCCTCTCTAAGTGGTTTATAGAGTCAGCACATTGCCCCTAACAATCTGGCTCCTCATTTTACCAACCTCAGAAGGATGTAAGGCTGAGTCAATCTTAAGCCGGTGATGATCGAACTCCTGGCAATGAGCAGTGAGTTAGCCTGCAATTTTGTATTCTAACAACTGCACCTCCACAGCTCTAATGATCTAATTATTTAATTATCCAATAATTATTAATTATTAGATAATTATTAGATAATCATCAAGTATTAGTAGAACATACATTTTAATAATTAAAAAGCTTATTATCTTTTTTTAAATTTTTTTGCTGGAAATGTGTGTTATAGACACAAGAATTATCAAATTGTTCTAAAGTCCTTTGCCAATTTGCCAGAGAGGCCTATTTAAGCACTGATAAATAACATATTCACAATCCACTGTTAATAACAAGTGAAATTTATCTTTCCAGGGTAATTATTTTTGGATACTTCCTCTCCTTGTACACATTTGAAATTTTGAGATTGAAATGTTGGAAGTACAGATCAGAAGGGTGTACTTTTCTTCACTTACTGAGCTGTGTACAATGGAATTCATGTTTTAGAATAATGTTGGAAACAGTTTAAAATATAGGGGTATAGCAGTGAAAGCATTCAGAAAATTGATTTAAGTATCATGTGGACTTGATGAGAATGTAGAAGCCCAACTTTGATGATCTGTTGCAAAATGGCAATGATATTTAAAATTAAATGATATTGCCTACAGCCTGATCTATTATGCCATTATCCAAAACAATAATAGCAGAAATATCTTCCTGCAGCCTAGCTATCATCATTTAATTCCATTTTTTTCCATTTCATTCCCTACCCTCAACCCCAATGTGTTAAAGATGGGTTGCTTCCCTACACCAGCACGGGTGACAAACTTGCCACATCAAGTGACTTGTCCTGACGTATCGTGACTCTTTTTGCATTGCTGGCAATGGGGTGGGCGCAGCTTCAGTATGATGAAACCGGCCCAGCAGTTTGACACCCCTGCTTTATAGCATTAAAAGCTACTTGCCTGGATACCCTCATATGAAGTTGTTAAGTCGCTTTGTGCTTTTGAAAGCAGAATCTAATATCAAAATAAGCACCTATCTCAATCAGAATAACACAAATTGAATTATATTCTTTGGCCTCATTATGAGGAATTGTTTTCTATTAGATTGTTTGAGATAACTGAGAATTTTGAATTTATAAATGTTGCAAGATAGTACTGAATTACAGCCCTATCTTTTTTCAAACTGAAGTTGTGCTTTCTATATAAGGCATTCTTAAAGCTATCATTGCTAAAATCAAATGATTCAGCCATATAAAATACGTTCTAGTTTAAACGTTTTCAACTGCATTATACTTGGTTCTGTCTGTATACACTGTGGGAAGTCTTATCTTAACTATGGCATCTAACTAGGCTATTAAACATTTTCTGGAGTCTCTTACATGTTTTGTCTATCTGCTTTACCAACAGCTTTTTAAAACAGCATTGCCTTAACACTAAGGCTAGAGTCAGCTCAAGGAACAATATCATCAGAGTTTCTCAGAGTTATTTCACTGTTCAGATTGTTTCCTATACACTGCAGAATATACAGTATATGAATTCATTTAGTTTTCAAACAATGATTGTATGGCTTCCTTTATACACTTTACAGGAAAATCTAGTTTGACAGTGTAATCCTATGCATCTGTTAGTCATCAGTAAACTCTAATTTAATCACATTTAATTTATTCCCAGATAAAAGTATCCGGGCTATGGCCTCAGACTCGTTATCTTCATTTTACAAAAGAAACAAAGCAAGGTAAGGTTGTTGTCATGGAAGTTATTCTAGTGTTGATAATGCTGACAATCACCTTTACTGTGTTAGAAAAATAGTTTCAATGTGAGCAGTATTTATATCAATAGGGAACTATGCCTACACAACTGAACTTAGTTATTAGCAAAAATACTGAGGTCAAATGTCTTTTGAAATTGATACTTTGAATGGAAAAAATTCTGTTCCAGTCATAAGGAAAGTTTATTTCTTGTCCAATACTGACCTCTGGGTAGTAGGGCAGAATTGCATTTTCTTAAATAGTGAACCATAGCTCATTAAATTTGTTACCTAAAATTTGTTAATCAGAAAAAGGCGCTACCAAGTCCTGAGACTTGGTACTCTAAAGAATTTTGGGGTTGCCTTCTAAAGGCAGAACTAGTAGGAAGAATTAAATTGGAAAGTCAGAATTATGTGACCATAACCGTGATGCACATTAACAGATCAAGGGTATAATGTTTATCAACCTATTTGTTGAGGTCTGCGTGCGTTCTGTGAAGTGCATCTCTTAAAGCAGAGTGCTTTGTAAACCATTTTGAGTACTGTTTCTAACCATCTATTTTTCACTGCTATTGCAATGCACTTATAGTTCTTTTTCGCATTTCCTCATTCCAGTAAGCAGCAACCTAGGAAAGAGAGGGTGAGTAATAGAAAAGTTTTGTTTTTAATCAGATGTTCTTTGGGAAAATCTTTAAAGTGTAAAATCAAACATGCATTACAGTTTCCGATGGTAATGTAGTTCATATCTATGCGCGATTTGGGAAGTAACTGCATAGCCTCCCCTTATTCTGTCGGTCAAGCTACTACAGTATTTCAGATCCTCCTCAGAGCAGAGAATAATAGGTCGCTAGCCCAAAGTGTCTCGCCCAAAGCTCCTTCGATTTGCAGCAACAGACGAACGTCCAGACATTTCTATCAAACGTCTCATACCCCCAATGCGGAGTTTCAACCGGTTTGTCTTTCATGCCTTGCATTGCCTTGAGGGGATTGTCGCCCCTTGCTTTTATCTGAGACAGGCTGTAGCTGCTGTTGCTGGGGCTGCTGTATTCCTGCGTCGTTTTCCTACAGACAAGCAGCTTCCACTTCTGCGAAGGAGTGACGGTGCGGAAAAGGACGGGGAGGGGAATTGGCACCCGGTTAACAAGAACCCGGAAGATTAAGGCCTCTCCTTCTCTCTCTCTCTCAATTCAGACATTTGACTCTGAGCCCGAGGAGGCGGCGACAGGGCGTTTCTCTCTGTCGACCTGGAAATGACGCTCAGCCGCGATCGCTGCTGCTAGAAAGACGGGCTGGAGAGTAAACAAGCCCCAGCTGATCTGTCTCGCCGTCTCCATCTTTGAAGGGCCGTCGCAGAGCGAGGACCAAGATGGGGGCAGTTCTGGGCTTGTGCTCCTTGTCCAGCTGGGTAAGGAAGTGCTGGGTTAGAGCCCCCCTTTGCTCCCCCCTCCTTTCCCGGCGCCGATAGAGCTTGGGGTGCGGGCGGCGGCGGGCAAGTAGGCTCTCTGGAGGCGCAGGCGCGCCGCAGGGCTGGATTCTCTTCCCCCTTCCCTCTTTTCTTTGTTAAAATAAAACACCCTCTTTTGGCGTTATTTCCGGTTGTTGGATTATCCCATTTGGGGGGGCATTCGATCTCTGTCGAGTTAGAACTTAAAATATCGTTGTTCATGGACAGCTGTCATAATAAATGTCTAGTAATGGAAAGGGTGGGCGAAGTCAGCTCCCTCCTCCTCTGCAGTACCTTGACATTTCTTTTAGCCTGGCTTTGTTGCGGAAGAAACACGTGGTGTTTTGTTTTAGTATTTGTTCCTACTTGCCCGACCGCCCGAAACACCGAATTTTACTTTCCTGGTGTTGTTGTTAGAGGGATGGGAGAAAAATCCCAAAAACCTTTAGAAAATACTCATACTAATTTTTAGCTGCAGTGTGTTAGAATAATAGTTATTTACTTGAGTGCTTGAGTGTAGTTGGTAGCTGGGCCTTTTTTGGAATCGATTACAGAAAGTGTAAGTATTTTATAATACTTGAGTTCATTGTACAAATTTACAGGTAGGTTGAAATTGTCCCTTGAAGATGTACACAATTCATGCATCCTGTATGAGATTTTTTTCAAAATGCTGTAGTCAGGGTCTTCAAGATGCTTCCAGAGTCTATCCTTCAGAAGCCATTTAAAAGCAGTTATATGTTACTTTTTAAATCTACTCCCCTTAAGAACAAGGAGTAAAAATCACCATAATTCTTGACTTCTTTAGGTTTTCCATCACAAAAATCCTCTCATCCCTACTCTTCACAAAAGGGAAATAGCTTGGATTTTCCATCCACTTATTTCTTACTGCATGCATTTGTCTGGTCATATACACAAAAATGTGTGTTAATTTATTTACAGAAATAAATGAAAAACCAACCGTTTCTTAAAAGGGTAACTGAACGAGAAATTATGTCAGATTCCCTTGGAAGCTCTAAAGCTTGAAGGCTGGGAGGTGGGATGAAGCCGTGTCCCTGCAGAGAACAGATTACATACTAGCTCTGTAGGGAGCAGAAATTTTTTAAAGTGTTGTACTGTTGTTTTGAAAATATCACAGTTAAGCTTGGAATAAATCAGTGGAGCTCTTTGGCTCAAAGAGATCTAGAATTGTTTTTGAATTGATGTAGAGACCCTGTGTGGAAAGACTTGTGGTCTATTAAAAGTTATTATCTTTTTGTGGTCCCCAATATAGTTAAGCAACATACTCTATTGTCAGGTGTGACATGATTATTGTAGGCAGGCCGCAGGCCTTCACTTAGAAAAAGGAGAAAAAATGGTCTTGCCTCTTCTCAGGATATTCTCTGGCCATTTCCCATTCTTTGTTGGTTGACATTTGAATGTCAGTGTGGAATGACTCCAAAGTGGACATCCAGCTCAGTCCGAATTCTGTAGTACAGTTTAAACATCCCATCATGATCAGACCCTAATACTGTACGTGCACGAAGGTTGGCATGAGAAGTTAAATCAATAACTTTTGACAAAGACCATTTATATCTTAAAGCTAAATAATTATAGATAGTAGTATTGGGGGAAGAAAAAATATAAAACATAACCTAGGACAGTAATTATTTGCCTGAACTGTGTTGTAATATATTCTTGTTTTCTGAAGTTAAGATAAAAGGATCAGATTAGGAAATTTAATAGAATGTTCCTTCAGTTTTTTGTTCATATCTGGAAAATTGCTTGTGTTAGGATGAGGGCTTTTCTTGGGCAGAAAATTCAAATATGTTTACTACAGATATCGTATCTTGTTGTATTCAAATATTGAAGTACAGGTGGTCCTTGACTTACGACCACAATTGAGCCCAAAATTTATGTTGCTAAGCAAAACATTTGTTCAGTGACTTTTGCCCCATTTTATGACCTTTCTTCCCGCAATTGTTAAGTGAATCATTGCAGTTGTTAAGTTAGTAACATGGTTGTTAAGTGATTCTGGTTTCCCCATTGACTTTGCTTGTCAGAAGGTCACAAAAGGTAATCACATGATCCTGGGACACTGCAAGCATCAAAAATATGAGTCAGTTGCCAAGCATTTGAATTTTGATCACGTGACCATGGGGATGCTACAAGAGTCATAAGTATGAAAAATGGTCATAAGTCACTTTTGCTGTTGTAACTGAATGAACTGTTGTAAGTCGAGGATTACCTGTATTAGTGTCATGGAGTAAAAGGTTGAAAACAGGTTATACCTGGCATGTGATCAGGATTATTTGAGTTGAATCTAGATTTAAGACAAAATAAACATTATTAAGGCTTCCTAAGGGCTTTTCCTCCAAAGCGGTCTTTTCAACATGTAACATTTGTAATTCAGATCATTTCTTTCAAACCAAGGATAAAATATACATATCTTTAATATTTATTTTACAATCCACTCTGAGCATTCTATAATTTCCATCTTTATAACTCCAATTTAAACAAAAAAGGAACTTAAGTTGAAGCAATCCAACATTCACTGCATGAAAATGGTACTTGCTCTATAGTTGAGATTCTGCTTTTTGTTGACTGTGGTGGGTACTTTTGGTGAGGAGAACTCTTAAAGAGTTTTTTGTGAGTACTCCCTTCCCCATTAACTAGCAGGCATGGAAACACATAAGAGTTGATATTGCAACATCAACTCTGCTGTTTCTTGCTTGTAACTTAATGCTCAAAGAGCCCAATAAACACCTGCTCAAATTTCATATTTCTAGTACATAAACATAGTTCCTCTAGGAACAAATTGAAATTTCTTAGGATAACTGCATAATAGGTGCCTATCAGATATATTGGACCATAACTCCTATAACTTGCAGCTACCATATTGCGAAACACATAAAGATAGCTGTAGGTGGGAAAGACTGATTTAGGTTTGCTGGTCACAAATTATAGTTCATTATTTTCAAATATTGTGAAATCAATTAAGCAAAATAGGTGATCAGGAATCTTTGGCTGTATTGCTACTTGTCTTCTTTTTTTCTTTTATCAGATACCATGTTTGTGTGGTAGTGCCCCCTGCCTCCTGTGTCGATGTTGTCCCAGTGGAAATAACTCCACTATATCAAGGTTGATATATGCATTCTTCTTGCTTCTTGGAGTGAGCGTTGCATGTGTGATGTTAATACCAGGAATGGAAGAACAACTGAAGAAGGTCAGTTCCTTATTGAGATGATTATGCTAGAATTATTTTGGTATAAACTTTGGTGTCTTGCATCTATCTCTTCTGAAGAATTCTTGTTCTAAGTAGTATGATATGTTATTGATCAAATACGAGCCATTATCTGTGGTAGTATAATAAAGACCTTAATGCTTGCTTTATGTTTAGGAGAGTGATAAGGAGACAGTCTTGGAAGCTCAAGCTGAACAGCAAATCTTAAAATGAAAGAGGAAATATCACAACCCTGCTGAAGCAAGCACTCAATTTCTGGAAATGTCCTGATTTTCAAAGCCTGATTGCAAATGTGTGCTTATACGTGGTTTTTGAAAACAGCACAGTTATTTGTTTGATGTGCAGTTTTAATATTATAAAATTTGTGGAATGAATATTCATGTTGGAAGATCTCCAGTTTCTTTAGAGCAATCACAGCAAACAAAGCAGACATTTTGCATTATCCATGAATTCATTTTAATAGTTTTTATGCTGTTTTGTTTTTTTTACAGATTCCTAGGTTCTGTGATGGCCAGGTGAATTGTGATGTTCTAGTAGGATATAAAGCAGTGTATCGTGTATGCTTTGGTATGGCCATGTTCTTCCTCTTGTTTTCCCTATTGATGATCAAGGTAAAGAGTAGCAGTGATCCAAGGGCAGCAGTCCACAATGGGTAAGAAAGAAACGACTGCTTGTCTAAATTTGTACTTATGTACAAGTGTATGTTTCACTTGGTGCCTTCCAAGTATGTTAGAGTGCACATTCCAGAATCATGCTGGTTGGAAATTTTGAGAATTGCAATCCCAACACAAATAGATTATATGAGGTTGGACAAAGCTGCTTTGTCACAAATTTAAAACAATTAGAGGGTTCAGCATTTTTCTATAATAGTGATCCAACATAAATTTGGTAGAAGCAAAATACTTTCAATAGTCTATACTTTTGGTCTATGAATTCAATGACTAAAATGGCGAAATAAAATGACTTATTAAATGTTACTGCTCTGTAATGGATACACATTTAAAATCTGTCTCAAAAAACTAGAACTCAACAATTATGTAAATTTCAAAATACACAGGAAAACGTAGCTTTTCACTTACTGAATTATAGTTATTTGTTATGGCTGACTGAATGTTTCTATAAATTTAAATTCTTGAGATAAAGAAAAGGGATTGCTATCAGTCTGTACCAGGGTAAGCAATTTCTAGCCCAGGCAGCTCCCTGGGACCCGAAGCAAAAAAAAAAAAAAAGTGAGGGAAGGTGCTGCAGAACAGAACTTTTCGTGTTCCCCAGCTGAAAAATAAGCTTTGAGTAATTTCACTAGGTATGATTGGTAAGCTTTCTCTGGTCCTTCAGAAGATACATCTGCCATCCAGAAAGGATTACTTACCTTGCTCTACACCATGATTGTTTGCATGGATCTATTCATCTGACTATCATGGGGACAGTAAGACCAAGCCACTTAGTCTGAATCTGAATGGTAATTCTTGTATTTTCACAGCACTGAGTGCTTGTTTCCAATAACTATCCAAATCTTTAGTGCTGGGCGTAGCATAACTGTAGCATTCAAAGTAGTCCACCCTCGGTCATATACATTGGATCAGTCACACTTTCTTTCAGTCTAAACTAAGTCATAGAGTGGTTGGGTGATGGTTGTAGGGAAAAATTGGAGGAGGGAAGACAATGTATACCACCTTGAGATCCTGTATAAAAGTCAGGATATAAATCCAATGAAAGAGAACATTTTTCATTGTATATCCTGTACCTTGTAGATGTAGGCATTTTCTCTCGGGCTATGACTGTAGATAAATTTCTTTTATAGAAAAACCATAGCTGTGTTTTTTCTGTACCATGACTCTGTACCTATTGAAGCCATAGGAAATGGTGTATAATATCTTTTTAGTTGGGAGATTCTGTGCTGGAGCTCAATTGCTCAGAGGACTACGTTATAAAAGACTTTACTGTCTACTGAATTTACATGTAGTTGGTTATAGTCTTATAGCATTTCCTACCCTGTATAAATAATGTTGTTGCTGTTGTATCAAATATAATGGAGTTGATAACCTAAAATATTTCCTGAATGTTATGCATTTAAAAATGTTAAGTATTACTGTCACTTATATTGGATATGGTGATTCTTTCAGATTCTGGTTTTTCAAGTTTATCACAGCAGTTGCAATTACAGTGGGAGCATTTTTTATTCCAGAAGGACCTTTTACAACTGGTAAGGTTGCACGAAAATATTTAATCTTTCAGCAAAAGTAGTTTTCTGGGCTTTCTTAGATATAAAAATCTTATTTGATCATTTTTTAAATTTTGAACTGTTTTACTGATGGATGAATGGACCATTTGGCTGAACCTCGATTCTCATTCCTAATTAAGCTACTTAAAAACATGTAACTGTTTTGTATCATATGTCTCCCACAATTTTGGTCTCTCTCTCTCTTCCCTTTCCCTCCTATTTCTCTAAGGTCCATGAAGGGTACACTTAACTATTTCTTAGCTTCTTAAGCCTATAGCAGTGGTGGCGAACCTATGGCACAGGTACCACAGGTGCTAATACCTTTTATAACTTTTATAAAAGGTTATAAAACCTTTTCGCTTTAGGCCTCCGCCGCCATGTGCAAAAAAAAAAAAGGTTCAGTCAGTCAATTTCAACTTCTCGTGGGAAAAAAAAGATCTCGCAAAGTTGGAATTGATTGATTGAACTTTTTAGTCCCACCCAGTCTGCCGTTATCACCGCAGCCAAGCCCAGCCAATGGGCCATGCCCAGCCAATGGGCCACACCCAGCCAATGGGCCACACCCACCCGGCACTCGATGATGCATAAATGGGTTTTGGGTTCCAGTTTGGGCACTCAGTCTCTAAAAGGTTCGCCATCACTGGCCTATAGAATGGTACATTGATTGCTCTGAATTAGACAGTAATGTTTTGATGCTAAAAATAATCTTAATGTAAGATTAATATTTCTTTTATTATTTTTCTTAGTCTGGTTCTATGTAGGCATGGCTGGAGCCTTCTGCTTCATTCTTATTCAGCTGGTTTTACTTATTGATTTTGCCCACTCTTGGAATGAATCGTGGGTTGAGAAAATGGAGGAAGGAAACTCAAGATGCTGGTATGCAGGTACGCCACGGTTTGTTGTTAAATATGACAGGATTGATTGCTTTGGTCTTAAAACTGAAATATATGATGCCATAATCTTAGATTCAGGAATTATGAGCTCAGAAAAGTGCGCTCTTGGTTTTCATATTCTTGTTTTGTTTTGTTCCTTTGGGTCTGAACATGTCTCTGCAGTTTTCTTCACAAAATATCAGAAGTGCTTTGCCCTTTTCTGCTTCCTAGGAATGAAAGAGTAACTGGCCCAAGGTCACCCAGATAGATTTGTGCCTAAGGCTAGACCAGAACTCATGGTCTCCTGGTTTCTAGCCTGATGCCTTGCTTGACCACTACCCCAAACTGACTCTACTTTTGTATCTTAGTTGCTTGCAAAATAACAATATCTACCCATCACCAACCCAAAATAAGGATTTTGCATTTTTCACAAGCCTCATGATACCTGATACAGGAAAATTGTGGGAATGCATTTTAGCCCCAAATAGTATAAGAGATTTCCTCCCACGTACCAGTTGCCCTGTATGAGTTTTCTCCTCCTGCAGATTTTACAAAAGGCCAGTTGCCAGTGTGCTGAATGTATGAGTCGTAACTCATGAAGATCAGATGTCATTTTGCTAACCCTTTCAAGCTAACATTCCTCAGCCTGGTGCCTTCTAAGCTTATTATGTTTAAAATTTCCAACCATTATGGGAAAAATGTAAAGGCACCAGATTTCCTTGGGAATTCAGCAGTTGCAATAGTGGTATACTTTTGCTTTTATTTTTAAAGCAGCCCAGTAGTAAATTTCTTAGGGATGCTAATACAATCTGAACCCCTTTTTGTTCTGTTTTTTTTAAACAGCATTACTATCTGCCACAGCCCTAAATTATCTCCTGTCTCTGGTGGCAGTTGTCTTATTTTATATCTACTATACTCATCCAGACGGTTGTTCTGAAAATAAGGCCTTTATCAGTGTCAACATGATGCTGTGTATTGGAGCTTCTGTAATGTCAATTTTACCCAAAATACAGGTATGGGTTTGGTTTTTTTGTTTTTGTTTTTTACAAATGCTTGGAGAATGTTTGAATATTTTTTTAAGCAATATTTTTCAAAGTCCTAATTGGTTTCTTTCTCTCTGTACATAGGAATCACAACCAAGATCTGGCTTGTTGCAGTCATCTGTGATCACAGTTTATACAATGTACCTTACTTGGGCAGCAATGACCAATGAGCCAGGTAAGAAGACTAAACAATTTTGTAAACATATTCTCTATACAGTTTTGGATTAAAATGATTCTAGCAGAGCCTTTTTGTTTATTGCTTTTAAAGATACCTGAGGTATTATACATGTTTATGAGCCTAGACAGATTTCATAATTTAATCGGCACATCATAGCAATATCAATAGCAGATTTATATACCGCTCCATATTATTTTACAGCATTCTCTGAGTGGTTTACAAATGTCAGCATTACATCATTTTACCGACTAGGAAGGATGGAAGGCTGAGTCAACCTTGAGCCAGTCAGGATTGAACTCCTGGCTGTGGGCAGAATTGGCCTGCAATACTGCATTCTAACCACTGCACCACCACAGCTCATCATTCTCTTATTCTCCTCCTTTATATATAATATACATATACACGCTATGCATCTTTAGAAGGATGTTCATAAGCATGACTACATTGTTTGTGCATTATTCACATGACGTATTATGACTATTTTAAATAATGATTCAAATTAAATGAGATATTCATATTGGATTAATAGCTTAGAATGTCAATTTCTTACATTCATCCAGACAGACGGTGCAATCCAAGTTTGCTGAGCATAATTGGATATAATGCCACAAACCCTCCAAGCAAGGGTCAGCTAGTACATTGGTGGGATGCCCAAGGAATTGTGGGGCTCATCCTGTTCCTACTGTGTGTTCTGTATTCAAGGTGAGTGGAATTTTAGAAAATCTTTCCACAAAGCTAACTATTAAACTCTACATCAGCTGGATATTTAGTAACTCCCCATTTTTCCATTTGCAGTATCCGAACATCTAATAACAGTCAAGTAAACAAACTTACTCTGACTAGTGATGAGACAACGCTGATAGAAGATGGACTTCCTCGGAGTGAAGTCTCCCTTGAGGATGGAGATGATTTAAGCCGTGCTGTTGATAATGAGAAAGACGGAGTTACTTACAGCTATTCTTTCTTTCACTTCATGCTTTTTCTTGCTTCGCTTTATATCATGATGACATTAACCAATTGGTACAGGTGAGTAGATTTATAGAAAATTGGGGAAAGATAACTTTTTTTTGTGGCACATGCATTTTTTTTACTTATCCCCACTACTCTTGGTTTTGAACGTGCTTTTTATTTATGAAGCTTGAAATGAGGCAGCAGATCAAGTATTGAACTCCAGAATTGGATCCAGAACTATGCATATAGAATAGGCAGAGAGCTTCTGTTCTGTGCATCCTACTCTAGTCTGTCCTCCATCAGTTTTCTCTGCTCCCACGTCGCATCCCAATCTCGCTGAAAATCAGAGAACCTTGTGCAATCTGGTGGGGGATGAATAAAGGGGAAATGGATTGATCCCTGACAAGTGAGGGAGGGGAATATTTGTAAATTAAGTAAATTCTGGTAAGAGAATTGATTTCCTTGTTTGCACAAGTGAATCTGAAAAGCCTTTCTACACTTATTTTTTCTTTTCTTTCTTTTAGTCCTGACCCTGCCTCTGCACAAATGACCAGTAAATGGCCTTCTGTCTGGGTGAAGATTTCTTCTAGCTGGATTGGTATCATTCTGTATGTGTGGACTCTGGTGGCTCCACTTGTTTTAACAAATCGTGAATTTGACTAAGCATCTTTTTTTTTTTAAAGTTTTTATTGTTTAGTTGCTTATTTGATGCTAATGCTACTCTGTACTAAGAAATCATTGTAAATATGTGTTTGTGTACTTAATACTAGCATAGATTATCCTGTCTTTATTATGCATGGCTAATTTTAAATCAGGTTATCATTACAATGACTGTTTTCCTACTTGAGCTTGATTGTGATTGCTGCTAGATTCAGGGCCAAACTAGAAATGTCGACAGTAGATCCACAGGCTTTATTCCACAAAATGCAAAATAGGAAAATTGCTGCTGCATTCCTCCAGCAGTTGCATATTCTGTTAGCAGTAATTAAGGTGTTTGTGAAAAAACTTGCACTTATCTGGAGTAATTAAGGTGTAATGAGCTGCCAAAGTGCTATAGCAGGGGTGTCAAAACTGGCGGCCCAGGGGCCAGATGCATCATGCACAGGCCACACCCATGCGGGATTCGCAAAGACAAAAAAAATCACAATACACGATCGAGTTTGACACCCGTGTGCTATATCAAGCACATACAAAATCAAAGTATTTGACTTGTTACTTGCAAGAGGTAAAATTTCAGCAAGTAGCAGCTGTAGTGTTTTAATTTAAAAAAAATCTCATTGAAAAGTGAGGTACCTGGCCTTTAAAAGCAAAATGGATTGTGGGATTCACTTGCTTGCCATTTATTTCTCCCTGGGCATCTTCTAGAGCAGTTATGATATTTGAATATGTCTAAGAGGCAGAATGCAGGGGGAGGATCTAAGAGATTCTAAACTTGTAGCAGAAGCATTTAATTTCCTCATTCTTGTGTTTTGTTTTTTAAAATGGGAATGCAGACTGATTCCACATGAGATTTATCATTTTTAAACATGGTGAAGGGTTAATAGTTTGGCAATTTTGTGATCTATATGAGGACTCTGCTAAGGGAGAAAATTAGGAGTAGGAAAGAAATCTTCCTCTTTAGAGGGACCAGAACAATTTAGATTACCTACAATATTACTAGGGTATTCAGAGCAGTCTTTGCCCTCTTGATTGAGTGAACAAGGGAGGATTGGAAATTAGTAATCAGTTTACATTTGTTATCTTAAAATAGTTGAGGTAGCCAGTTTAAAGGCATTAATTTGTTGGTTGATCCTTGCCTTTCCTTTGGAAATATGTTATGTAGACTTCAGTTTTACAGGGAAAAGAACAAAGCAAGGATAGCGAATACAGATTGATTGCACTTATAATTGAGAAGCTGTTTTCATGGAAGTTTCTCCTTTTAAACCTTCTGCACTAATAGCCATTCTATTTAGGATTTGATACAGTTGTCACACAGCCATCTAAGAAACTATTATTTTTTTTTGCTTCTTGCTAAAAGAGTATGTTTCTCTACAAAGTTTAACTTACAGAGCTTATTTTAAAAGAATCTGAAAAATTCAGTTTTACTTAAAGTGGATGGAAAAACTTGAATTTTCTAGCCATGAAAAGTTGTTGCATTTTTGTACACATTGTCTTTGAAGTGGAGTGCTGTGTCAATCGTATTAGTAATGCATGTCATTAAAGTTATTTTTGGATCTGCTGAGTTTAAAAACATACTTTGAAGTATTTAAAAGTATTATTAGGCTGCTGGAAAGCAATTTAAACTGAGTTCTAAGGCTCTCAAGTCTTTCAGTGCTAGTAACATAATATAGGGAATGCTGATAAAATATTAAAAATAGGACAAAACAGGTAGGAACACTAAGCTTAGTTATCATTAGATTGCAAGTAAGAAAAAAATGAGACTCCTTTTAATAGCAGTTCGCTGAATGTATTGGCAAATATCAACATCCTTAAAAAGCATTTGCATTTGCATTGAGATTTACAGTGATGCCATTTGTTTTTTTTTGCATAGAGCATTGAAGAACTTTTAAGAACTTTTATGTCATCTCTTGCTACTAGTCCCATTGGGGTGCAGTGCAGGCAGTCTTTACAAGTGCAAAATCTTAGGACTATATACTTAGAAGCTATTGGTCCTGCTTTGCGAAGTGCTTTGAAATACTCGGCTTTTGGTTTTTGTTTGTTTGAAGTGTAAATACATTACCCATTGCTCCAATATCAGATTTCTCCAGTTCAGTTTCAACTGCAGATATCTTCTCGAAATTCCTGAGCATTTGTAATTGTTTAAATTTATTCAATTCATTGTAATACACAGGCTGATGAAGTTGAACTTAAATGCAATTACTGCTTAGTCATTTTGAGTGTATATGCTGTAGCTATAAATAAACATTCATACTGGCTGTTTTAATCTTGATACCGCTTAATGCAGGGGTGTCAAACTCAGCATCGTGGGTGCCATTGGGGGGCTGGGTGGGTGTGGCTGGCATGGGCGTGGCCTACTGGGTGGGCGTGGCCAGCTCCATGTCATTCACGTAAGGGGCACCTGGGCAGGAATGGGGCACATCCGAGGGTGGGGAAGGGTGGATGGGACGGGGTGAGCGCCAGGGTATGGTCCATGGAGGAGCCTCACTGAGCCTCAGGCTGTGCATGGGGCCCCTGGACAGTGGCATGGACTGCCCAGAACCCTGGGCAGCGGAGATCAAGCACCCAGCCCGGCCCTTGAGTTCCCACGGCATCAGGACCCCACAGCCTTGCCTAGCCTAGCCGCACTTCCCCGAGGGGGCGCCCAGCTGCACTTACCTCCTCCTCAATGCTGCTACTGCTGTGCTCACTCTCCTTGGCCAGGTTGCTCATGGTGGGTGCAGGAGGACAAAGTGCGTGGGTCAGAGGGAGGTGCACTCCCTCTCCATGCGAGGAAACCTGGATTTGTAACCAAAGCATCCTCAGCAATAGGATGGGAGACCACCAGGGGAAGGCAAAAGGGCAACAGGGCTGCTGGTGGCCAAGTGCTAAAGCAGGACTTCCCTCAGACCCTCCCTCTTATTCCAAACTCCTTCCTTCCTTCTCTTCTTCTTTCTTTCTTTCTTCCTTTCCTTCTTTCCTCCCTCCCCTTCTTCCCTGCCTCCCTCCTTTTCATTCCCATCTCCTTCCTTCCTTCCCTTACTTTCTTCCTGTTCCCCTCCCTCCCTCCTTCTCTTTGCCCAGGAAGGGACAAGGAGAGAGGGAGAGGTTGGCAGCACTTCTCTCAAAGAATAAGAGTTGGAAGAGACCACACCAATTCCCAACTTCCCATTCAATCCAAAGAGTTTTATTATTACCTGGATTTTAGGGAGGGGAGGAGGCAAGAATAGACCACAAACTAATCTGCAAGTTTGCTCTCTCGCCTGCCTGCACACCACATTCCTGTGTATGTGTGTATGTGTATGAGAGACAGAGAGATCTCCTTTTTGTAAGTTTGCATAGTCTGCAACTCCCTGCTGGCGCTCTCTCTCTCTCTCTCTCTCTCACACACACACACAGAGGTTAATAAAAAAGAGAAGGGGGGAGAAAGGTGGAAGCTCTCCTTTTTTGTAAAACCTCGGCTTCCTCCTCCTCTTCCCCTCTTGGCTCGCTCTCTCTCTCCCTCATACACACACACACAAACCCTTCCTGTTTTCTCCTCCTTGTCCTTTTCCTCAGCTGCACCTGAATGGAGTGGGAGGAAGTTAAAAAAAAGAGAAGGGGTGGAAGAATGGGGGAAGCTCTCCTTTTTTGTAACACCTCGGCTTCCTCCTCCTCTCCCGTCTCTCTCTCTGTCACACACACACATAGTAACTCTTCCTTTCTTTTCCTGCTCACCCTTTCTGGCCTGGCAAAGCAGAGCCACACGAGGAGAAGCCCAGCAAAGTGGGGCATGGACGGGCGTGATGGGGTTAAGCTGGGAGGGGAAGGGTGAGCTAATGCAAATGAACTGCTGCTGCTGCTGCTGCACACCATCAGCTCCTGAGCGCTTGCTGTGCTCCAAGGCGCCCAGCTGGGTTGTGGTGGGCCAGGGCTGGGGCAACGGGAGCCGGTCCCTTGCCATTTCTGGGACAGCCCCGGGGGGGGGAGGCAAATTTTGTATTTGTATCAAACTGTTTTTAAACTGGCTGTAAGCCGCCCTGAGTCCTCCAGGAGAAGGGCGGGGTATAAATATAATAAATCAAATCAAATCAAATCTGGGCCCTCCCGGGCCGCATCCAGCCCGTGGACCTTGTGTTTGACATGTCTGCTTAATCTGAACCTTTCGGATTACTTCAATGAAACTTTAAGCAACATGGTAGAAAAGGCTCTCTTCCTGGGCCCTGCCAGATGGCACTCTCTCATAGTTGGGACCTGGATCATTTTGCTTCTGCTGGATCTCACAGGACAGGTAGACACTACTAGGGAGAGATGCCCCAAGCCATTGAAAGACTTTAAAAGTATCCCTCAGCACCTTGAATTGCACCTAGAAGTATATGTTGGATAGAATACTTTTTATACTACAAAGTCTGTCTTAGAAATGAAAACTTAAGTGTGCATCATTAACATATACTTTAGTTTTTAAAATCACTTTGCAGGTGCAATGGTATAAATAGCTCTACTCACAATCTTCCTAAATAGTTTTAACAGTGTAACTGGAGCTTTTATTAAAAGGTGGAAATTCATTGTCACTGGAAAAAGGGGCACAAAAACTAAATTGCATTGATTGCCCATTCTGGCTAACAGAAGCACAACTGTCCTCACTACATGTATAATTTGTTTAGAGCAAAGTGTGCAAAATACCTAGTATGACATTCACTCAATTGTCCTTTATACGCATATATTTCAAAGCTATGTGTCTCTACTTTTTAAAAGTTATTTAAACACACACAAACTGAAGCTACTGCCTACATATAGTCTTGCATTTGCAAATAGATGTTCAGATAAAGATTGTTTTCCAGCACATACGTGGAAGCTTTTTTCCAGTTTTCCAGCAGCAGGGTTTTTATGAAAAGGGAAGTTGATCCACTAAGAAATGGCTTTCACTTATTAGGACCCGGATATTTGTATAGTTGAGGTTAAAATCCAGCTAATTTTTTAGCCTAGGTTGATCCCTCTATCCCACAACCAGAAGTATCTTCATGCAGAACGCCTTTCTGTGAAAAAGATTAACCCCAGTCTGGGAGCCAGAGTCACTCTCCTTTCCCAATCTCTTCCCTCTGTATGCAACATTCTAACGTCCCTAACAATATGTAGTGCTTAAATAAGACTTGAAGTTAAGTGACACATTACATAAAGGTCTGGTCCCCCTAACAGTTTTATTTAAACAAGGTTGTAAAAATAAAAAAAGTAATGAATAGAACTTGGAAATCTATGACTTCCAGCAAAAAATCAAAAACAAATTTGCGTCAGTCATACATTAGGACCAAAAGTGAACATGAGATACCACAGTGGTTAATACAGAGCATCTGATTATATGTGTTTAGAAGATAGCTGGTACTTCAAAGTACAATGGCACCAGAATATAATGAATTAGTGTGAATGAACTGTTGATGGTTTCTGTAAATATTTAAACTGCTCTGCTTTTGTAGAAGCAATAGAATCTTTTCAAGTCCCGGTTAATTGCTTTCACAAAATGCTTACAAAAGTTAGACACCCCCCCCCCCCCAAACACAATCTAAATAAATAGTTTGTCTTAAACATATTGGGTTAGTTGTTCAACAGTGGCATATCAGTGTCCATTGGCACAGGAGCAAGTTCACACAAATAAAATAATGTAGCTTCACTGGCTTCTGCTTCTGTCAGAGGTTCCAGACGAACGAGTTTACTTTGGGTTGGTTGAGGATCCAGACTGCTTTCAAGGAGTTCATCCACTTCTATTGATTTATCTACAGAAGATGTGGTTTCTTGCGTACTCTCTGTTGCTGTGCTTGGGTTTCCATCAAACAATGCAAGGAGAGGGAAAGCAGTATATTGAATGAGCTGTTTATCTACAGTAGAAGAAAATAAATCAAACAAAAGTCATTATTTTAAACAGACAGAAAGACAATTTTTGTATTTTTACAAAATGAAAGTCAAAAAAAAAATAGAACACGTTCAACATACTGTAGAAGTTACCAGTATGCATTGATTGCATTTTGTTTCTATCTAAAAAATAATTTCCATAAATTGTGAATACTGGACAAGCAAACAACTTTACAGTATGAAACATCAGTCACCTGTTTTAGAGTTTGAATTAGGCACATTTTGTGAGTCTTGTTGAGGACTATGACTTTTCATAGTTTCAATTCCCTTTGTTTCCACCTGCATAAAAGATGAGATGAAGAAAATGTTATACTAGAGAACAGAGACTTTCAAAGTAAAATACAGGTAGCCCTCACTTAATAACCATTTGTTCTATGACCAAAGTTACAATGTCACTGGACAAATACTTTCAAGCTGGTCCTTGAAGTTATGGGTGTTACAGGGGCCCTGCAATCACATCATCAAAATCTAGGTGCTTGGTAACCTGCCCGCATTTGTAACTGCAGGGTGTATTGCAATTTCTCCAAACCCACCTATCTCCCCCCCCCCATTTCTACCCTTTTACCTGCCCTGCACTTCACCGCCCCTCCTCCCTTGGTTCTGCTGCTCCCAGCTAACCTTTGCCATCTTCCTTCACTGCTGATGAGGTGTGCCGGTCTGGCCCTTTGTGAGGCAGGTGCTGGCCACGTGATGCCTTCTTCCCAAGGCCGCATGCAGCCTTCCTGAAGTCACATATAGCCAGCATCTGCCTTGTGAGGGGAGGAAGAAGACAGCAAAAGTGAATTTGAGATGGCAAGGGCAGGGCAGTGTAAGGGAACATGTGGGCTCTTTGGCCCCTGGCGGTAGCCCCCCTTCCCCCTGGCCAAGCTGTATTAGTGTTTGGCCATAGCAGTTACTTAGTTGCACACTGCCCTGCTAGCCTGCCATTGACTTTATTAGTTGGAAGCCCACGAGAAAGTTGTAAGGAGGTCCTTGCTTAAAAGCCCATGATTCTCATTTAATGAAGACAAAGGGACCATCAGACCACCATAGCTAAGCTATGTGCTTTATGACTGCATTGCTTAGCTATGGAAAATGCAGTCCCGATTACTGTAATTAACAGAGGATTATCTGTATTCTGCAGCAGTATTTAAAAATATGCAACATGCTCTAATTAGAATAAACAATAAGAATATTAAAAAAAACAATGACAAACTAATGTTTTGCCATGTGCCAAGAAATACATTTTTGGAACTGTAGAAACCTTCATTTGTATTTCCTCTACATATATGAAAAAGAGTCTGGGGACATTAATACCATAATATACAAATTGTAATTTTATTCTTAGCACATAAATACTTTACATTAGGATGTGCAAATCATTTGGTGCACAGAGCAGCTTGTTTTGGAAGGTTTGGTCCTGGACCAAAAACATACATATTTGGTATATTTTGGTATATCCATGGAACAAAATGGAGCTGTTTTGATATGGACAGATATAATTTAAAGGACTGAGGACAGAAAAAGCCAAGATGTTGGCAGATAAGAGAGACAGGGAGAAAAGGAAAGTTATTGGAAGGTTATGAGGTTTGGCTCAATCAGTGGAACATGCCGTGGCTGAAGGGAGGGAAAAGAAAAAAAAGATCCTGAAAAAAAAGGGGGGGGGGGAGAAGGTAGGCTGGTGGCATGGCACGCTTGGGAACAGCTAAAGGAAAGTGCAGGGAGATGAACTTTGCCCAATTTTCCTATCCGGATTTTGTTTCATCTGAAGCTTGAAATGACAACCACATTCAAGGTTTCAGTATTGCAAACCGAGTTCCCTGAAATTGTTTTAACAAAACTTCTGGAATACAAAATCTTGTTGCAGGTTCAAACCAAAACAATTTCCCCATTTTATAAACATTGCTATTTTGATAGTTCCAGAAGCATTGCTATGAAATTGTAGCACATTCCTGTAAGGATGTACTAGATAAGATACAGAACATGGAATCTAGTAAGCAATGTAAAAAGAAGCTGAGATCAGTACTAGAAAGCATGGCCATTCAAACAAACAGAAGTAGTCTTAAATTATGACCTTGCTAAAATTCAGACTTTTAAAAATACAAATGTGTGATGTTTTAACACATTTCACTGATGTGCTAATGTAAACTTACTTTTGTACTACTGAGATGACTTGTAGGGTTCATCTGTACAGAACTTGAAAAAAGCTGAACAAAACAAAATGTCACATTTTAAAAAGAAGATTCTAAATAATAAAGTTGGCTATTTTTAAATCACATCAATGTTTTATGAAAATGTCTACATTAAAAATATTCTTTAGAAAATTTAAGAATAGGTTTTTTTTGTTGTCTCCGAAACGTTAAACTTTGCAGTTGGCATTAATATAGTACACCTTGATGAAATATTTTAAAAGAAAAAACAGTTTTATAAAATTGAAAAAAAAAAAAACAGCAAATATTTACATCCACCAGAAGATCTGGATCTATGCTGAACTGCCGTCCTGACAGCATAGCCTGAAAGTCCTCTAAACTGCAATCAATGCTCTCAAGGTAATCCAGGAGTTCCACCCTAAAAGAAAAAGAAGACACTAGCTCAGGGGTAGTCAACCTTGGCTCTTTTATGACTCGTGGACTTCAACTCCCAGAATTCCTGAGCCAGCTAAGCTGGCTCAGGAATTCTGGGAATTGAAGTCCACGAGTCATAAAAGAGCCAAGGTTGACTACCCCTGCTCTAGCTTTTTGAGCAGTAACTTATTTCCTGCTTGCCACTTTGGACTTCTAAAATAAAATCAAGAAAATTATACTCTTTTTCATATAATGTAAAAGTGCTTGAGTATTTTTCTCTACCGTTTCCAGAATATCAGCTGGTACAAAGTATAAAACCCAAGGGCAGCAGCATATAACTACATTTGCCCTGGACACAACCACCCAGCCTATCTGAAATTCATCTGTAAGTGATCCTTAATATGTATCAAGAATCGAGATACACATTACCCGTGGAAATTGATTTCACAGAAAAACCTAATTATTTAGGAATTTAAAGACTTAAGAGTACATGTGTTATTGTGGATTCAAATAAGTACCCAATTATTCTAACACCACTGAATTCAAAATTCAATATTCTATAGTCAGCATATTGGAATCTTCTGAATTAAGCCTGTTCCAAACAGGAAAACAGATAATCAGCATATCTGAAATATATGCACAATCTATATAAATAAAAATGTAAATGTTCATTTGTTCAAAATCTTAAATCTCCGAAAGTTCTTCACCGATTGCTTTGAAATTTTCACACGTTGCATTTGAATACGCGCGTGTTTTTATATACCTATGTGACAGGTAAAAACATGCTTTTAAAAAAAAAAACAGCGCCATCTGTTGGACGTAAAAGCAACACACGCTAGCATTGTGAAATTAAACATATTACAAACATGCGTTTTCTCTTTTCTTTCTTTTCCATTTAACCAGACTGAGCCACAGCAACGCGTGGCCGGGTACAGCTAGTGTAAAATATATGTGCAATTTTAAAAGAGGAAGAAAATAAGATTGTGCATAAACTTTAAAACTAAAAACATAAGAAAATATGACTCACTTTCCAAGAAGGTTGATATTTTGTGAGATCACTCCATTTTCACTAAGAATAGAATCCATCATTGACACTGGATCTTCTGATGTTAAAGCTGATTGGTGGTTTAACTGAACAGCACTAGACATTAATGGGTTTGCATCATCCGAGGAAGGACTCATTGATTCATCACAGGAAATACCAACTGGTTCAGCGTTTGTATTTTCTTGAATTATAGGTGTATATTCATCCTCATTATCATCTTCTACTATTACAATGTCAGGACTATAGCTGCAACGAAAATGTAAGATTAACGAAAAGAAAGTGTTTCTTTTGTAATTTGATTGGAAGTAAAACTATGAAACTGTCTTCCTCAGCTTTGCTCAGACAGCATTTCTGTTTCTGTATTTCCCTTCGAATAATTAGAAGCTCAACACATTTTGGGGAGGTAACAGAAGGGAGACTACAGATTTACACAACAGAATTCCAGACATTCCACATGCACATTTTCTAAAACTGAATAATGTGACATTTTAAAATTTAACTAGTGTATATTGCATAGACTTTAAAAAAAAATCACAATCCATTTCACTAAATCCACAAAGTGTTTGCAACACTACATTTATTAGGCATTTAGAATATTTGCTTCAAAAACAAAACACAAAACCGGCCGCTTTAGTTTAGCTCTGCAAAGCAAGCCAGGATTATTTATAATTTTACTTTAGTTATTTGCTACTAGTCCTAATGGCTGATGCAGTCTGAATCAGGTCTTGCCAGATCTAAGCACTTCTATTTCAATGAAAATGTTGAGATTCTTCTAACTTATATATAGAAGTAAAACTGCAGGCATCATATGCAGGATTGCCCAAAATTACAATTATGTTTATAACATACACAGATGTTTCTTACTTGGAATCTGAAACAGTATCTTCACTGGTTTCTGGAGTAACAGGTGCCTTTTCTTCATCCCCACTATCATCAGTGATGTCATAAATAATAATGTCATCTGACAGTTGTTCTCTTTGCTTCAAACCATCACTCCTGTTATGTGAAACCTGTCCATTTACAAGCGGTAATAACATAATTGCATATTAAAGATAAAACCGGAATAAGGATAGAAATATCTTTAAAGTGAATAAGAAACAATTAAAAGTAGTACATTCAAAATGTATTTGAAATGGATTTATAAATCATTAGTTCAAACACCATAGCTATGGAATTAAAATATGATTACTAACGGGATAATCATTCTTAAATAATTTCAGAGTAATAACCTAACTAAAAGAAGTACAGGCAGCCCGCAACTTACAATAGTTCATTTAGTGATTGCTCAAAGTTACAATGGCTCTGAAAAAAAGTGACTTAAGACTATTTTTCACACTTAGGACCGTTGAGCATCCCCATGGTCATGTGATCAAAATTCAGGCGCTTGGCAATTTTGATTCTGCAGTACAGGTAGTCCTTGACTTATGACCACAACTGAGCCCAAAATTTCTATTGCTAGGTGAGACCTTTGTTAAGTGAGTTTTGCCCCATTTTACGACCTTTCCTGCCAGTTAAGTGAATCACTGCAGTTGTTAAGTTAGTAACACAGTTGTTGAGTGAATGCAGCTTCCCCATTGGCTTTGCTTATCAGAAGGTCACAAATAAATGATCACACGGCCCCAGAACACTACAGCTAAATCGTAAATATGAGTCAGTTGCTAAGTGTCTGAATTTTGATCATGTGACTGTGGGCATGCTGTGATGGTCATAAGTGTGAAAAATTGTCAAGTCACTTTTTTCAGTATCATTGTAACTTCAAATGATCACTAAATGAACTGTTATAAGTTGAGGACTACCTGTATTCTGTAGTCTACAGCCACAATGAAAATACTTGGAAGTCTGTTTATAACTGCAATCACTAATCTCCTCATAATAAAACAAAACTTCATTTAAACAGCTTTTCACCAGTATTTCAAACATCCATACTAAGATAGTTCCCCCAAGGTAGATAACTATTTACTGTTTTATTTTTAAATATGTTTTAAAATTAACTCACATGATGTTTATTTTCTGATGAGTCTTTGACAATCTGCTGAAATAAGTTAGACTTTGTAGCCCCATTATTATTCAGAAGCAGTGGGCTAAATCAGAAAAAAAAATATGTTAATGCAGTTCTAAAAGCTACATTTAAAAAAAAATATTTTTCCAGAATTTTCAAAAATGAGCTTACCGTTTGCGTTTCAGACTCACAAGCTGATTATTCTGAACGAGAGTAACAATGAACTGCACAATCTGCAGAAAAAAACAGAATGTTTTAGTGCATTTCAATCTCAAACAAAACTACATACCTCTATGGAAATAAGTCTGAACTTAACAGAATTTGTTAATTTACATTGGAAATTAAGTTTCTTGTGCATAAGAGAACAAATTGTTTATCAAGTTGCACAAAAACAAAAGAGAAGTTAATAATTACTTTGAATCTCTTCAGCAAATTATCAAATATAAAAGCTTGTATTTCAATATTCATTCCAACTTGCAGATTGAGATAACATAGATAGGGTGCTCTACAGCATGACCACTATCAATCTGGCACTATGTCATTCCTAATGCTTCAGATGCCTGGACATGTGAGGAATAGCTGGTTCAGGAAGCTGTAAACAACTCTGTGGTTCCTTGATACCTCTAAAGAAATATTGGTGCACTCCCTTCTAAAGAAACTTTCCCTAAAGTAAGCAATACAAGTAGTCCTCAATTTAGGACCATAATTGAGCCCAAAATTTCTGTTGTTAAATGAGACATTGCCCATTTTATGACTTTTCTTGCTACAGTTGTTAAGTGAATCACTGCAATTGGTAAGTTAGTAACCTGGTTTTTAAGTGAATCTGGTTTCCCCATTGACTTTGCTTGTCAGGTGGCAAAAGGTGATCACATGATCTTAGGACACAGCAATGGTCATAAATATAAACCAGTTGCCAAGTATCTGAATTTTGATCACATGATCATGGGGATGCTGCACAGGTTGTAACTGTGAAAAATGTTCATAAGTGACTTTTTTTGGTGCCGTTGCAATTTTGAACAGTCACTAAATGAACTATTGTTAAGTCGAGGACTACCTGTATTAGGCAACTATTGTCCTGTTTCTAATCTTCCCCTTTAAGGGAAGTTGTTGAGAAGGTAATATGGTTCCAGATGCAGAATGCTCTAGATTTAACAGATTATAGATTATATGGATCTTTTTGATCAATTCTAGAAATGAACAAAATGGGACTGGTCATTTTGGTAGATGACCTTTGACACAGTTGTCTTGACCTCTTAGGGACTTTCTAGACTGCCTACTATTGTTGGGGATTCAAGTCACTGTTTTACAGTGGTTCCACTCCTTCCAAAACAAGCAGTTCCAGTCAATGCCAGTGGAGGAGAAAAGGCCGGTTCCATGGATGTTCCTTTGTCAGCTTCTCTTGCCCATTGTTTGACATGTACATGAGGCTGCTGGGAAAAATCTCCAGATAGCGAGGTAAATTTTGCCCCTCAGAGCAAGCAAGGAACATTTTTTCTATATTCAATATGGTTTTTAGAAAGTTATCTGTATTGTGCTGTGTACGTATTTTCTTAGTAACACCAACATTCACAAATAAAGCACTTGCATCAATAACTTGAGCTAGGGTTTCTGCAATGAGAATAACTGATGGATAGCCAATATGAAGATACTTGAAATAATTCCTACATTACAGCATCAAGTATTATATAAAAAGACTTCTGCTGAAGTAATAAGGAATAAGACTTTTCCACACACATTCCATATCTGCCCTGTTTTATTCTGGAGAAACTTTCAGAGCTTTTGGGATAGTGCTTAAGAACTTACTATCTTGACAAAGAAGAACAAAATGAATGCAACCCAATCAGTCCAAAGATAGTGAGTGAGGCTGTATTTTACCCCTATCCCCATAATTTTATTTTTGTTACATCTTTTCCCCCAAAGAACTAATCATCATTTACAGCATTTGAGTTAATTTGTAGGAACCAATTAATATACTTTTAAGATTCTGATTTTGCAGGAATTTTTACTCTCCAATTGCTGTCAGTAAAAAGTATTTAATCTGTTAATTTGTATTATATTCACTAAAGCCATATTTTTTCCTTCACATCATTATACATGAAAATGAATCTCAGAAAAATTAAGATAATTACCTTTCGAATAACTTGTTGCTGCTGCAGATGTTTTGCTCTCAATTCTGCTACCTCCCGCCAAAGAGATTCATTCTCTCTGTTTCAAGACATTTATAGTTAGGGCAAAGATTAAAATGTTTACATGTGAATATTAGAAATGTATCCTGAAAAATAATACTAACAATCACTAATATGACACAGATAATCCCTTCTATTGGTATGAGACATATAATTTTTAAAGTTATAGAAATTTTCACGTTAAAACATTTGATATTAAAAGGCCAGTTTTTCCAGTTTTGATAAACAATAAAGTGACATCATATTGACTAACGTGTATTTACCTCTTCAGTGCAGAAAGCCTGGATTCAATGGTTTCTTGTTTAATTTGAACCTTCTGAGCGCTGCTTATAATTTTAGACAGATCTTCTTGGCGAATTTTATTTTCTTCAGGCTTCGAGGAAGAAACCTGTTTAAAAAACAACAACATTCCAGATACAAATGAGTAATAATATACAAGTTGATAACAGCTTGAAATAGGTCTTCTGTGATAATGGAAACAGAAATTTGTTTTGGAAATGAATTCCAAAATACTATGATGCCTGTGAGATATGCATAATATAGGTGAATTTCAGCAAAAGGAGTTCAAAGATCTATAAAACTTTTCACTAACCTTTCTTTTAATATGTTCCAGTAAGTCTTCCCGTCCTTGTTTGAAATAGGGATGTTGGAACTCAACAGGACCATCTCTTTCCAATTTAACAATACCAGAATCCACATGGACTACTTTACGGAAACCATCTGAAAAATTACACCCACAATGTAAAAATCAACAGAAATATTCAAAGGCTTCATTCAAACAAAGTGAAGATTTCCATACTTAAACAATGTAACAAACATTGCAATTCTCGTGTAAACAGTTTTGCTAATGCACAACTGTCTTAGCTCCTATCACCAAAATCCATTCTATTAATTTCTACAGAAACCAGTATCATTATATAAGACAAAAAAATTAACATAGGAAGCAGCGTCTGATCACTTACTTCCCCTTCTAGCTTCACAGATATTGCTGTATTTCTGGGAAGTACAGGGCAATTGCAAATGGAACAGTTTTGTTACTATACCGCTTGATATGTACAAAAAATACTATAGAAGTATAGTTCATCACTTCTGCTACTTATGAGCCAGATAGTTTAAATCTGGAAGCAAAACTAAGAAAAACACCATATCCTAATTAGTGCTAGATTACAGGAAGTATGCATATGCTCTAAATACGTTTAACAAACACATGTTATTATCCTAATATAGTATAACACTGTATTATTGCAAGAAAACTACACTGATTATGTTTACTATCGTGGATTTCATTTGAAATTTTAGCCAATCAGAACTTTCTCCCCAAAGAATTTCACTCAGTAAACTAATACCCATGAAAAGTGAACAGAAATAATTTTAATCAATCCCCATTCTCTCATCACCTCTTTCTACCTGCCAAAGAGTGCTCTAACCTTCTAGAACAGATTTATTTTAGACTTTGGGGTACAAAAGATTGCAATGATAGAGGGAAATCAGCAGAAATGGCCTCCTTTCCAAGTCAACCAATAGGAATATCACTATATCAAATATTTTCCCTTGTTGGAAAGTATTCTTCCAATTTGAAGAAGTCTATGATGAATCCAACCCATAATATATAAACAAGATTTCCTTCCCAAAATTGGAACATAAATTGGCCCTGCTACAACTGAGCAAAACCTAACCTTTCAGGTGATACTTATTATCAATACCATGGAATTTTATTGTCAATATACTTGTGAAAAAATAGTTCTGCTAACTGATGCTTAAGGACATAATTAGAAAAGTCAAGTCTTTTCATAAGCCTGAACTATAATATTCAATGATGAAAAAGTATTAACTATCCTTCTTGGGTTTTAGTTTTCAGAGGACCTAGGCGTTGAAAATTTCAGCAAATGCAATTCCTAAAATATAGCAACTACATTCCTTAGAAAATTGTTTATGTTCATGATCAAAATTTAATCTTGAATGACTATAGAATGTACTAGTGTAAAACAAAAAAAATGAATCTACTTCAAGATTAATAGTATAAACATTCCACATTTTAAGTGCAGCTCTAAATATATAATATTACTGAAAAAAACCCTTACACATATTCAGCTGCCTCACAAAGCTTGCCATGTTGTTGTGCTTGAAGTACTTTGGAAGAATCTCTTTTGCAAACTTTTGTTCATCCAATACGAGGAAACTCTGGCCATTCTGAAATTAAAGAGTCACACACAATTATGATCAGAATCTATATAAAATGAAAAACGTTTTGTATATGTTTACAACTAACTTCTCACTGAAGCATTCTTTAATGCAAATATATATATATATATAATTTAATTAATACATAATTTAAAAAATAGTTAATATCAAAATTATAAGAGCTTTCACTGAAAATATTAATGATTATGAACAAGATTAACACAGAATCTTAAAGAGGCAAATCATGAATACATTAATGACAATAACTCAGATCAAAGTACAGGACAGTTTAATATTGTGCTTGGCCATATAAGAACTGCCTAACAAAGTGAATTTTGGTTACAGGTTAGGTTATTTGGTTGTTCTAAAACACGTAATTTTTGTTATTTCTACTTCTAAGAGTAGTGGTGGCGCAGTGGTTAGAATGCAGTATTGCTCGCTAATTCAGCTTACTGCCAGGAATTTGATTCTCACCGTCTCAAATTTGACTCAGCCTTCCATCCTTCTGAGGTCAGTAAAATGAGGAGTCAGATTGTTGGGGGCAATATGCTGATTCTGTAAACCACTTAGAGAGGGCTGTAAAAGCACTGTGAAGTGGTATATAAGTCTAAGTGCTATTGCTATTGTTTTGCTGCTATGTGTCCTCGGAAAAAAATATAATGATGGTGGCACAGTAATGATAAGGGAACAAGCTGGGAAAGATGTTCTTCCTTTTTATTTATTCATTTGGGGAAATATCAATTGCCTAATGAGATAAGTAACTCAGACTATCAGGGATTATGGTTCTTAGTTTCTATGGAAAAAGGGATTATACAAGTGAATAAATTTAGAGGAAAATTTAAGTTTGGAATGGGAGAATAAAATCAAGATGTCTAAGCAAAAACACAGTCTAATTAATAGGCTAAGAATAACAGAATAGCAAATTGATTAAGAACCGAGAGGATCTAACAGAAAATTATCTACTAGAACAGCAGGTTAAGAAATAATAATAAATTAACTTGTGGACTAGAAAGCAGAATATGAGGAAACATTGGGTAGCAGAAGTAATAAGAAATGAGGAGACAAAATTACTGTAAGACTCAGACAAAGTTTTGGTATAAAAAGACTGAAGAAAAGAAAAAAGAAAAAGGAGGTAGGAGGAGACCTGACACATCAAGCACTGTAGTCAGGCAGGGCCCTTGATTGATACTGCATAGCTTGGCATATGTGACACAAATTATTTTTAACTACTGTTTTAAAATAGTAGCTATAGTATCTCTAGCATATTACCAGATATCATTTTTTCCAATTACACAAGATTTTATTGTGTGTATGTGAACCAGCTTTGTGTAGTGGTTAAAGTACTAGATTAGAAACTAGAAGGCCCAGTTCTAGTCCTGCCTTAGGCACAAAGCTAGTTGGGTGATCTTGGACAATTCATATTCTCTCAGCTCTAGGAAGAAGCAGGCAATGGCAAACCAATCCCAAAGTCTTGCCAAGAAAATTGTAGGGACATGTTCAGGCAGTCAGGAGTCAACACTAGCTTTAAGGTACTCTCCCCTCCCCCACCAAAAGTGTGTATAGTATTTTAAAATGTTTAAATAGTGTTTTATATGCAATCACAGTTAGGACTGGAATCTTAGTCACTGAGTGAAGCAGTTACTAAGCAAGTTGTCATGCAACTATTTTGTTCTACATCCGCAATCCTGGTTGCGATTAAGTCATGTTGTGGATCATTAAGCAAAGTCATAGGTAAGGACAGTAAGGTGCCTGGGGAAGGCTTCGCCCAGGAGCTGAAAATACTCCCTGCTAAAATCCAAGCAGCATTTTCAGCCCTGAGCAGAGATACTCATCCGTGTTCTGTGATGGCCTTCTCCCATCAACCCAACTGAGACCCCCTGCCCTCTTTTCCTTACCAAATTGCATCTACATTCAATGCTTAGATTTCAGCTTCCTCTCGTCTTCGGGGTTGGCTGAAAGAGCTGCCTACCAAAGGAATTCAGCTTCCCTCTGCATGAATGGAGCTCCTTCAGCAGAGTGGAGCTCCTTCAGCAGAGTGCAGGAATGTAGCTCCACTTTGGCAACCTGCTGGAGTTCAGTTTCCCTCTGTATGTGGGAAAAAACTTGTCCAAGTAAGGTACAGGAATACAGCCCAAATATTCAAGATTCGACTTTTTGTTTCTGCACCCTGCCAAAAGAGTTCAGCTATCCTCCATGGGAAGGAGAGGGTACTCTCAGCAGGGTGCAGAAATAAAGCAAAATCTTTAAGATTTGAGCTGTTTCTGCACCTCATCGAAGGAATTCAGCTCCCTTTGGCAGGCAGCTCTTTCAGCCAGCCTCCAGAGACAGAAGGCAGTTCTCTCAGCAAGAAGCAGCAGCTTGCAACCTTCCCTGAGGGCTTCCCCCCTTTCTAGATAAGTTGGCAAAGATTGCAAATAGCTATCAGTATGATCATGGGGTTCTTGGTAACCCCTTGTAAGTGCGAATAGATTGCCAAATACCAGATTGTGATCATGTGACCACAGGAATAGTGTTGCAATGTTTTGTGATGGCTGAAGTGCTTTATGGGCTATTAAGCACTGTTTTTGAGGCCGTTATAATTCTGGATTGATGTTAAATGAATGGTCATAAGTCGAGGACTGCCTGTATATAAACTAATTTTTTGTTAGAGGCTTATAACACAATTGAATATTATGTATATAATCCAAATGACAAACTAAACATTATGTCTTTCCCAAATTCAATATTTTAATTTGAGATTTTTCTGATCATTTCTCTAAATTATATATTTTGGGGAGAGTAATCTTAAATATGGCGGTGATCCTTAATAGCCCCAGCAACAAAATCAAACACATGACAATGGTTGCTAAAGAAATCAGCATAATAGCAATGATAGGTAACCTGCCTATCATTATGTCCAGAAATTCTACAACAATATTACTCTATCCCCTTCAGACATGAGACAAGATGATCATTTTACTTTTATACCAGAAATGCCCTGCCACTTTATGTAGCTTACTAGCATAAATATAAAATCATACAAATATAGATTTAATATACCAGGGAATCATGGGTTCTGCCAACAAAGGAGATTTAGAAACAATTATATTCTAGAAGACTAAGATTTATAGACCTATTTTTATATCATTAAGATGACCTAATGGCCGATTTTACCTATTAGTGATTAATCCAAAATTCAATATTAAAATAAAGAAAAAAAATAAAATATCCAACTTATGCTAAAAATAAATAGACACATGCAAGTGGACATGATGTAAAGGCAATGTAAACTATGAATGTCTCCTAGGATCTGCTCAATGTTTGCTTTAGTCATCCAAAAAGTATGTATGAAAATTGATCGCCCTAGTTTCCAATCCCTGTTGCAACCTGTAGACAGCCAAAAATAACCTTACAAGTAATAAAACAAATCTTATTCACTATGCCAGCAGAAATAAAGTGGCACAAGATAATTTCATATTTTTTCTAATATTATTTATATTCCTTTGAGAAAAAAACAACTTTGAAGTTGTAACAAGGAAACAGTTACAACAGTTACAACCATCTCTCCCCTTTCAAACATAATTATTTGGCACAGGAACAGATGCGCTTATAAATTCTCTCGCCTTTAATATCTAGGAATTTTTTTGTAAGCAATTTCCTCAAAACAAAACAGTAACTTAACCGTTACGTTGTATTATCTGTAATATTTTGATACCAAATACTGATCTATGAAGCAACTATTTCTCCTAGTACCGTATTAGGCTATATATGCACTATTTCCACGTATTAAATCAGACCCAAGACAAGGACATTCATATGCTGAAAATACTCCAATATCTACAGAAAAGTCTACTGAAATAAGCCATATTTATGATACCTGAATCTACTGATATTATAGAAGTTTTTCCACATGGAGCTGAGGAAGCTACAGTATCTGTTTACAAAAAGATATAGGGCAGTATTATTACCCCAATTTTTTTGCAGTCAATAACTAAATCCTAATTCGGTTTGCTTGCATTTTCTTTACCATATTTGAACTCAACCACTGTAATTTATGGAATAGAAGTTATTATATCTGACCCTATTTTATTTAGAGTATGAATGAAAATGTATGAATGCATATTTACATTTACTCATACTAGAGTGAAGCAAAATCAGGACTCTTCAACTGATATTTCTGATTATTTCTAAACCTATTTCTGAACCTATTTAAATGTTAATAGTAAATACATCAGTGCTAAGGTAGCTAACAATCAAAAGAACAGATAGGCCATGAAAACAATACACAAATACAACACAAGAGTGATTTAAATACTGTTCTAAACAAAACTCCTTTAGTAAATTGCTTCCTAATTCCAACAACCACTGACAGAAAATTAGCTGAGAGTAAATTTTGAAATTTTATCTTCCAACAAATATTTAATGAGTGGCCCTGTCTGGCTGTGCAATCAACATAGGTATAATAAATCAATGGTGGGTTCCAGTTTAAAAATGGCAGAACAGAAGAATGTGGGGCACAAACTCCACTTCTTGTTTATTACAAGGACAACCCCTCAAACACAAATATTTTTCTTGCAAAAACTTTGAGGCAAATACCTTCAGAAAAACTTTCAAATAAAATGCCAAACTGACTTGGTGAACAAGAAAAATAGCATAAACCGAGACAGCCTGAAGAGACTTATTGAAAATGCAGAATTATATCCTACTTGAGAAAGAAATGATAGCCTAATATAAAAAGTGAGTTCTTCGGGTTACTAGCGACACATTCAAAAATTTTGGACCAACTATAGGGAGAGATAGGACAATTACTGCATTCTTGGTCTATCTTAAAGACCTTGAAGGCAATTGCCCCAGGTGCATGAGCCAGGAGGCTAGGCAAGTCCAGCTGGTAATGTGGCTTTTATTATTGAAATTATTATTTACCTCAAATGTCAGACAGACACATAAATTTAAATAAATAGCTCAGCCAGAGGCTCAGGGCATACAATCAGTATGAACGTTAAATGGATGAATTTAATGAATTAACATTAAATTCAACACCCTCTTTTGGATACTAAATTAACACTATTGGAAAGTACAATATTCCCAAAGTCAGACTTTTCCACGCACATTCCTTACTCGCAGAAGCAGCTTGATTTGGAGCAGAGATGTCAAGAGGGATGCTTGATTAGCTAAGACAGTGGTTCTCAACCTGTGGGTCGGGACTCCATTTGGGGTCGATCGGCCATTTCACGGGGGTCGCCAAGCAAGGCTGTCCGCCATTTTTTTTGTCCACCTTTTTTTCTCCTTTTCCGGCGGGTGCCTTACCTGCCTTGGGCTGGGCCAGCTGGTGGTCGGCCTGCTCCGTCTCTGCCGCTTGCCAGCTACGCCTCGGCAGGGGCAGGGGGCAGAACCACGCATGCGCGGCGCTCCCGGGCAGGGAAAGTCCTCGACTTACGACCGGTTTAGTCCTCGACTTACGACCGGTTTAGTCCTCGACTTACGACCGGTTTAGTCCTCGACTTACGACCGGTTGGGGGTCGCGGCATTAAAAAGGTTGAGAACCACTGAGCTAAGAGATCAGCTTCCTCACCCAGGACTACTGGGCATGTCAGGATTCACACTACCGGCACCAGTTCTGCATACACCCCAGAGACGTGCCCCGTGCCGGTCTCGGTCCAGGCCCTTCTGCAATGATGCTTTCCGTTCGGAGGATCCCCTGGGCGCCCTTGCAGTCCCTCTTTGGACGCCATGTGACAGTTGGGGCCTCCCAACGGCCTCGTCCCCGGGAAGGACCAGGGCGCTACGCGGGCCCGGGGAAACGACTGATGCGGGGAACGGGGGCGGGAGAGTTTACACGGGGAGGCGACAGGATCCGAGGACCGTCGGTGATCTCGGGACAAACCTTCACCCGAAAAAAAAAACCAAAAAAAAAAAAACCTTGACTCACGCCGGATCACGCCCCCTTCCTCTTACACCGCCTCCTGCCGGGCCTTTTGTCCCGCCGTACGGGCGAGAGGGAGCCTGGCCGCCAAAGCAAGGCTCCAGGGCAAGCAAGGGAAGGAAGGAAGGAAAAGGCCGGTTCTCTTCTCTCTCTCCCCCCCCCTCCACCCCTTCGCGGCGGGCCCCTCTCAAGAACGCCTACCTGGCTCCAGGTGATGAGCTGGTTACTGGGTGCGTCGCCCACCAGCGCCCAAAGTTTACTTAGAAAGGCCGGGACTGCCGTGGCGGCGGCGGCGGCGGCGGCGCCCGCGCTGCCCGCCGACATGACCGGCTGCTGCTGCTGCTTCATTATGGCTCGGCGGAGGGAGGGGGGCAGAGCGGAGGGAATCCGGACCGGTATCCTTCCTTCTCTCGGCGGCGGCGGCGGCGGCTTGCCTGGCGCGCCTGCGCAAGCTCGCGAGACACGCGCGAGGCCGGGAGCCCGCTTCGCCCTGCCCTTTACATAACGGGACCACGTGCGCGGCCCTCACGAACCACAACAGCCGGAAGCTTTCGCTGCCATTGGATAAGGGCTCGCGGGCTCGCCATTGGCTTGGCGCGGCGGGAGACGGAAATTTCCACCGACTGGAATGCAAAATTTAGACCCGAGACGGCCAATGAGAGAAGCGTTCGCCTAATAAGAATGAAAGAGACGCGCGCGTCAGCTGAAAAAGGGGAGGGGGGTTGCCTAATGCTGGAGTTGCGGAGGAAAAGTTACCATAGCAACAGAGGACAGCAACCACAGCAACGTTGGAGAAAACACACCGGTGCTTAATTGAAGATTAACTTTCACTCCGCTGTTCCTCTGTTTACATGTCCAATCCTATACTCTTCTACTCCCCAGGAACTAAATTGGACCTACTCAGCCATTGTCTATAAAACTCAGGAGTTAAATTGTCAGCACTGAAATATTAAAGTGTATTCCAATGATTTGTAATTTTTTTTTCAACCGAAATGCTAAAATGTATGCTGGGATCAGAGTCGGGGTTAAATTTCATGCTTAAAAATGATGCTTTTTTTGAAAAATCGACTCTATTTGTGCAGCCGGGATCAGAATTGTTAAATTTCATTGTATAGAATGGCTCTCCACTTTTATTAACAGGAAGTAACTAACTTAAGTGGCCTGAGCTTGAACACCTCTAGCAAAGGTGAGAATGTCAACTCCAGGAGCATTTGGTTTTGCTGTTTAGCTTTTTTTCTCTAGACACTAGGTAGAGTTTTGGAAATCACCAAATTGTGATGTAAAAATTAGAAAGTTGAATAACGATACTTGAGTTCCCTTTCCCATAAGCAGATGCATATCTATGTGTGTTTAGAACTCTGGCTCAATCAGTTATATTACCAGATCAAGATCAGCAAAGGCAGGCATTTTCTTATTTATTTTGCATTTGCAATTCACTTTTATTGAGGAGATTACTCTCAAGAGGAGCTAGTGATTCTATATCATTTAACACTATCTTTTCTTCTATATATCATAATCACCCTGTTTTTAACACTTTGTCCCTTTCAACCATGCCTCTTCTCATCCAAATGACTACTCACAGTTTTAAAAACTTTTAATTTATTTATGACTAGCTGCCTACTTTCCTTAAGGACATTGCTTATTAATGGCTTAGCACAGATGCCAAATAATTTCTTTCATGTGCCTTCATAGTTAGCTAATAGTTGGAAGTCTCTTCTAAAGATATGAACAGGAGATGGGTATGTCTAGTCTAGTGAAAAGAAGGATGGGAGGGGGGAATAGAATAGAATAGAACAGAATAGAATAGCAATTTTCCAGTATTTGAGGGCTGCCACAAAGATGGGGGGGGGCAAACTATTTTGCAAAGCACTAGAAGGCAAGCAAGAAACAATGGATGGAAACTAATCAAGCAGCAACCTAGAAATAAGGTGAAATTTCCTAATGGTGAGAACAAGCAGTGGAATGGTTTGCCTTCAGAGGTTGTGGGTGCTCCATCACTGCAGGCTTTCAAGAAGAGACTGGATAGCCATTTGTCTGAAATGGTATAGACCAAGGGGTGTCAAACTGCTAGTCTGCAGGCTAGTTGCATCATGTGGAGACTGCATCCACCCAGCTCCAGCAATGCAAAAAAAGTTGCGATACGTCGCAACACGTCATGTGATTGACACCCGTGGTATACACTGTCCTGCTTAAGCAGAGAGTTGGATTAGATGACCTACAAGATCCCTTCCAACTCTTAGCAAAAATCATCTTTGCAAAAAGCATAGCAGAGAAATTTGCCCAATGTTTTTCTACCATTTTTCATTCAATTTAATAAAAGAGGTTACTTTCTAAATTGTTTCAATGGAGAAACTCTCATAGGAGGAATGTGGCATTCTAGTACTTATTTAATTACAGGATGGCCAAGAGATGTAATAGTGGCTTATTAAGATATAGACCAGAATACAAATAAAAGTGAATAGATCAATAAAAGTTTAAATTAAATTTAAAACAGTGTAAGTTATTTCAGCTTTATACTAAACATGCCATCATCAGGTACGTTCCTGTCACTAATGAGCAAAATTTTAGAGCCATACATGTCACATCTATCGGACAGAAAATAATTATTGTAAAATTAATTCTGGCAGTCTGGCCAATTTTTTTGGAATGGGAGGTGACAGAGTTAACCTAGATCAACTATCAGTCAAAAGATATGATAAAAACTCCATAATCCCACAATGCATGTACAGACTCAACCACAGTTTCAACTGGGAATTGTGAAATCCTGGAATGGGTGGGCAATTAATTTTCCCAAGAGGACACATGAGAATCTGGGACTGTTGTAGCAGGCCACTGATGCCACCCTGCCCCCTGCTGATGCCACCCCACCACTGACACTGCACTAACCTCTCACCTCCCTACTGATGCCATGGGCCAGGTGGGGACTGCCTGCAGGCCTGATGTGCCCCACAAGCTGTAAAATGCCTAGGTCTGTCCTAAAATCCAAGTGAGTAAAGCTTCATCTGCGCATGTGTGGGATCTAGGTAGTGTGCGAAACCACTACCATCCCAGTCTGTGGAAAAATTGTTTTTCACAGAACCGGTCCCTGGTGCCATAAAGGTTGGGGACCGTGCCATAGAGGCACACTGCTCAGCAGCTGGAAGGAAGAGTCTGTCCTAGTGTAGGTCTATTGTAACCTGCAAAGACTCTTCCTTCATGTGGCATGTAATGTCCTTATGAGAGATATTCCGTTGTGATATTTGGGAAAACACTACTTTCCTGCTGAAACATCTTGGGATGGCTTCATCTTAAATTAATGTTATGTACAGGTTACCTGCTTGAGTAAATTTTAGGGTAATTTTTTTCCGTTCACATTAGTATGGCGTTTGGTTAGAGTTAATCTAATATGAAGTTTATGGTTAATTGTAAGTGTACAGTAGAAACTTTCTGTTAACAATAGATTGAAGGTCAGGTCAGGCTTTGGCATTCTGATGTTCTGTAGTTTAGCATGAGGGTTAAATTAATAAAAGCTACTGAAGGTTTATTGATGAATCAAAATGATTCTGGATTTCTCTTGCAATCCCCCTATCTCTTTTTTTCCCATCAAAGTTGCGTATTATTGTTGGTATTAATCTTTTGAGGTGTTTGTACCACAAACTCAATTATTTGACAATCATGATCACAGTTTATGCTCCTGTGTGCTCAGCTCAAAAGTTCAGTTAAAACGTATTAGCTTTTTCTCCTGTTAAAATTGCCACCTACAGACAGTTGGCAGTCTTGCCAACTATGCTTTTTTCTGCAAGGTCTTCATGAAGCTGGAGAAACCTTCCTTTTCATCTACTGTAGATTTATGCCAAAGTTGTGATAATATTAGGATTTCTTATATTGGTTATTGTAAACTGTACTTTTCATACCTTATACATAATTGTATTATGATATTGGTTTATGTCATATATCATTTGAATTCCCCTATACTGAGCTTTTTTTATAAGCAGACATTAAATAAAACTAATATTATTACTACTAAGAGGGAAGCATGAAACAATATACCATAGAAGGGATGTTGGCTCAGAAAATGTTGAAATGTCAGGTGAAATTACACAGGGTAAGAGCAGTTTTGTGTTGTTGAAGGAAAAGTCTTCATCATGGTTTGGTCCAAGCAGGGGATAAACAACATGGCGACTGCTTTAGAAAGAAGGTTGCAGTTTATTGAAGAGGAGAGCCAGACAGGAAGATGGCTCTGGAAGAAAAAGAGAGCAAGTACATGTAGGGAGTGGGTTTTTATATCCTCTGGAGCCTTTTGTTTGGAGTTGTTCCTGTGGCATGAACTTTGACCTGAGTCTGAGTGTGCCCTTTGGCATCTGTGGGTTAATCCTATTATGTCCTGCCTTAAGAGTTTGGGTGGGGTATGTAGATTTTAGGTTTCTTTGTCTTCCTAAGCTTCTAGGTAGGGGCCTCCAACCTTCCTGGATTATTTACATATGCATTTCTACAGAGCTGGTTTCTGCTTGAAGGAGGGAGACTTGGGACTATTAAGAAAACTGGGCATGCTTTTCTGCCTCTTTAAGATCCTTTGAGAAAATATATTTTTCTGCCCTTTTAATATTTCCTTCTCTGGGGGGCTGACTTCCCACAGTGTGTTTAAAAGCAGCTGTATTACTGAACAATCTACAGTATCTGTACATGAGAGGCCTTGTTTAATCTTTCTGGTATTTGTGTACAGGATCCTAGAATAGATTCTTGCGACAGGGTTAGCTAGTGAATCCAGTTTGCTTTATTGAAAATATATCTCTGATATTGGGCTTCTTATTAGTCCTCCATACCAAAATAATCCAAGCCAAGAAATAAGGGTAATGCAAACAGACTAAAGCCATACCAATGAATACTAATCTATTCTCAGTCATTCTAGTTCAGATGTCTGAACATTGTGTAGATTCAGAGCTAGATATATAGCCTGCTGACATTTCAGGTTGTCAGCTCTGAACTGTGAGGACTAAAACTGGCAAGACAAGTAGAAAGCTGAAGATCAGACAAGACTATCATCAAACACAATTCAGGGACTCTTCATATTCAATGCTGAGAAGTGAGTGATAAAAAAAATCTATTACCAGATAAGAAAAGGAGAAAGGATAAAATAATTAAATCTCAGGGTTGATATAAATAGAGGCTTTGATTGCTTGATTCTGCAATAGAAGATCTATAGGAATTCTTGTATCAGCAATAAAAGCAATTTATCTTTCCAAGACTTGTTTTTGACACTTCATTATGAGTGTGGGTTTCAGTTTGTGCAGAGAAATGTATTACAAAGCCCTGGGTAAAGATCTGGCATGAAGAACTACTAACAGTCTACAGTTCCCTCTGGATGGGCC